ATGCTGCATGTAGATCAAGTGAGGTGAATTCTGAGAAATGGTCATACTAGTTAGTAATGGGATGGACATTGGTGACCTTCCAAAGAGCAGTTTCAGTAGACTGGAGGAAGCTCAGTGGAATAAGAGGCCAGTGGAAGAGTAGACCAAAAGATTCCTAAAGGCCAGCCAGAGGCAGAGCCAAAGACTTTGTCCTTTGCTAGAAAGACAATGACAAATTTTTGCACTGTCCCCGTTCCCTCTATTCCTAGTATACACTTTTTCATACAGCCCATCCTTCTGTTCCTAATATACACTTTTGCACAGATTAAAATGAAAGTGATTAGGTTCAGCTTTCAAAGTTATCATCATAATCTAACTTTCTCTCTTTGAAATAATATCATATTAAGCATTATTGGATTTAAGAGGGCCCCAGATATCTCAGCCACTCATTTATATGCAGGTTCTTTGGACACATGTACAGGTAGTTAATCTCATCTACATGTATGGACTTTATTGTTCTATCTCCTGGGGTCACCTTACTTTCAGGTTGTTAGACCTGTCTCACAGGTATGCTCTCAAAGATTGATAATTCAAATGATATTTTAAAATATTTTAAAAGAACAGCAACTTGTAAACTCCATCCACTTCTACTATTCATTTCAAAATTTCTGATATTATTAAAGATCCTTAAGCAGACTTCATTCTTCCATAGATCCATTCACTCAACAAACTTGTGTCATTGGGGTAGGTATTAGGACTATAGCTCAAGGATCTAAAGCAGTTATAGTTATATATATATATAAGCATAATAATAAGATGCAGTTATCCACACTAGAAATATTGTTTGCTGCATAAACTATTTTAAACTGCATTCTAATAACAAAAAAACCCATAAAGTCACAGAAGTCTTCTCCATCTACAAGGGAAACATGGTTTACACAGTATGCTTACACAAAACAAAACAAGTTATTTGGATGGGTAGAGTGTTATATTGATTTACTCATTTGGTCACAGAAAGGAATCTTTCTCATGAGATTGCTTATTTTTCTTTTTCCCCTGTATCTGTTTGTAAAAGCTAATTTTAAAGAAGGGGGTAATTTCGAAAATCTAAGAAAAAAAAAAAAGATTAACAAGCATAGACTAATATATTCAGTTGGAATGATTTCCTGTGACAGCGTGAACCAACACCCACCAACATGTGTATAATGAAAACATATCAGAAGACACTAGACTGCCACAGTTTTCCCAGGGCCTCACAGCAAGCCAGTGGTGGGCTTAGGGACTGATACTTTTCATCTTCCTTGAAGATAGACACCCCCCAGTTGTCGCCCCATAGGAAATCAAGAAGTATGCTAAACTATCCAGTGGACTTGGAATTACACAGCATTGTGCCAGTGGAAATATCCTATCCACTGTTATGATTTATTTTGAAAGAGAGTAGGGGAGAAAAAGAAGATGGAAGGAAGCTGCACACAACATGGCCAAACAGCTGGCTGGTTTTATATCGCAGAAACAGCTTGGGACTAAGTATACTCGAACGTTCTCTTGGCAGAGTAGCTTGATGAAAATACCAAAGCTGTGAGGAGCAGTGTTCTTTTGCTGAATCCTTTATGTAACTATCATATGGTTTATTAACCTAAATGAGAACATGTACACCATTTTTTAAATTTCTTACTTGTTTAAATGGAGAACTTACTTATTCCATATACAGCACAAGTGTGGTTCACCATGGAATGAGCACCCAATAAACCTTAATAATTCAGAGACTTTAATCCTAGACATGTAATGATTTCCTACTCTCTTTCAAATTCTGTTTTGTTGAGGCTGTCAAAGGAGAACTTGATAAGACAGAAATTTAAGCATGGATTCAAGGGCTCTGGTGATGGATCTCTAAGGGAAACATTTTAATTACTTCATGCATTTATTCATTCTTTTAATTGATACCTCCTTAAGCAATAGAGATAGCTTAATTTTAAACATATTTGTGGCTCACCTGCTAGATGCGAGACTGCATAAGGATTATATAAGGTCTGCTTTGCTCCTCTAGAATTTCCTGTATTAAAGAGTACAGGGTATTCTGAGATCCACTATTTTAGGGGACTGCATTCTATCATCCCAAAATGTGTTAATTAAATGAGTTTGTTCTTTACTAAGTATCCAAGATAGATTCAATTAGCTGGGAAATTTCATAGTTTTATAGTAAGGCATTTTAAGTCTATTCTTTGTGACATCAGAATCAGTTTCTCATTTCAAAGTTTGCCATATTTCTCTAGTGACTTAAATAGTTTATTGGCACTCAGTTTGTAAAATGCTGTCTGGGATTATCTAAATGCAGGACGTTAGGAGTGGAAATACATACTGTGGCTTCTCCTGTCAAAAAACGTGATTAACACACATGATATATCCTCTTGCAAAAGTGGATAAAAATTTCCAGTGAGTCACCCCAAGTCACAGGCTCCCCAGACATACCAGTGGATGCCCTGTGTATCTCCCTCCCCAGTGCAGGACTTCTCACTTCTTGCCTTCCTATCCCATTAGCCACACACTAATGTGTGTGTGTGTGTGTTTTCAGTTCAAAACCTACTATTCAATTTCTATTTTTTAAACAATTTTGATTTTATTTAATGTATTGCATAAATAATAATCCATTTACAAGGTACAAAAGAGTAAACATACTACTTCCTACATGTATATATTTTCCTCTTTGTTTCTTTTAATGGCTGCACATAATCCACTATAAATTATATAATTTATTTAACCAATCCTTCATTGATGAATATGTAGGTTGTTTCCAGTCTCTTGTTATTATAAGAAAAATCCTCTAAGAATAACTTATACATTTATATATTTACATAAATTAAGTATGTCTGTAGAATAAATTCCTAGAAGTATTTTTGATAGGTTAAAATTTCCACACGTTTGTAATTTTGATAGTTACTGCTAAATCAACTTCCGTAGGGGTATGTACCATTTTACACCCCCACCTGTAAGTGTGTGAGAATGTCTTTTCTCCCTCAGTCTTGCCATCAGAGAGTATTATTAATATTTGAGAACTTGAAAAAAATGGAAAAAGTATACCACTGTGGTTTAAGAGAACATTTCTCTGATTATGAGTAAAGTTTAGAATGAATTTTTTAAGAACTATTTATATTTCCTTTTTTTGAGCTGTCTTCATATCTTTTGTCCATTGTGGTGTTATTTTGTTGGTCTTTTTTTCTTACTGATTTATAGGAGTTCTTTAAGTTTTAGGAAAGTGTCCCTTTATTTGTGACAGGAGTTTTTTTTTAACTATTATTTTATCAGACACTTTATCCCTCATTAGAATGTTCTGTTCTTGTGAAATCCCCATGAGAGTGTGTAGGCCCGGTACTCTCCTGGAAGGTCGCTCCTTGGTGTTTGATATCTTGTTTACATGGAAAATGGTATGATTACATTTTATCATCTGGTGTCAATTGTGCTAAATTACTTTCCTATAAAATCAGCCATCTCATCCATGTTTTAATGCATTTTTATAGAGTGTGTTTTTCAGAGTGGGTTACACCCTTGGTAAATTTTGTGGTCTTGATCTGTCAATTATTTTTAAAAAAATCTATTGAAGTCTCTATGACTATAGATTTGTCTAGTTTTCCTTGTAGTGCTGTCAATTTTTATCTTTATATTTTAAGGCTATATAATTAGAGGCTTTCAAGTTCAGAATCTTTTTATGTTCCTGATGGGTTTCTGGTTTTGTCTGTTATTTTGTAACATTTTTTAAAATCAAATTTTATGGTTTCCGAACTCCCTGAGGGACGGAATTGCTGGGCAGAGGGCTGTGGGGACCATGGTCTCGGGGAACATCTAGTTCAATTGGCATAACAGTTTATAAAAACAATGTTTTACATTCTACCTTGGTGAGTAGCGTCTGGGGTCTTAAAAACCTGTAAGCAGCCATCTAAGATACTCAAGATACTCCACTGATCTCACCCCTCCAGGAGCAAGGGAGAATGAAGAGAACAGGATACAAGGAAAAGATTAGTCCCAAGGACTAATGGACCACAGCTACCACGGCCTCCACCAGACTGAGTCCAGTACAGCTAGATGGTGCC